TTCTAAATAACATTACTACTAACTACAAAACTTTTTTTTTTCTTAATTGCAGAGATGTCATAGCACTCGTGCTATGGTAACTTCAGTAACTATAATATATCATAATGCTGTATTGTCTGTAATGGGCATAGTAAACAACGTTCGATTCGATTAATATTCATCTGACTCACCATATAGGATTAAAGGCCAAACATATTTTTGAACGCAACTTATTTCATGTACCTATACGAAATGTTCAAAAAACGTTTGCCTATCCACCTCAATGCTAATAGATAAATACTAATACCGGAATGGTATTTATGCAGCTTGATAGAAAGGTCCTATCATAAACTTTTTGTTTCAATGTAATATCTCGAAAAATTTAATCGATATAATTTAAACTCGAACAAAGCTCCGAGCATGACTAGCAAAAAATTAAAATTTTAATTTTAGAATCTCGACGTTTTAATCCCGTTTGAGTGTCGGATCTCATACAGTAAACAGTTGGGATGGGTAACATAAAGCAATATCTATATATTGCAGTTACGATATCTATATATATTTGTCCATTAATTAGTATATTAAACATTTGTTATCTAATATATAACATCCGGTCCAGAGGTTATAAGATCGAATCTCTCAAAACCTCTAAGTTTTCAAGTTCATTTTAAAATAATTGTAACTTATGTTGTAAATATCAGGATGCGGTAATAAAACATATATGTATTTGAGATATAAAATAATAAATTTAGTAAAAAAAAAAATACGAGACAATTTACTTCATGCTATAAAGGGCACGAAAAGCCGTCGTCCGGTAACCAATTCAAAGACAAATATTTTATACAAAGAGATCCTAGAAATCTTTAACACCGGAGATTACTACCTTCATAGGAGTAGTAGTAAACTCACATTTCAAATTACTTTAAACATTAGTTACCCAATCAGTAATATTCCATTTATCTTGCATAATAACGGCTACAGCTGAAACAGTTGACAATATCTTGTAAAACTATAATTTTATTGTTTTAATTTAATTTAAATAACGTGCAACTTCGAATAGAACTGGGTTGTTGAGAAATATCAAGTATAGAATCCAATTAATGTTATAAATGCGAAACTTTGTAAGGATAGATGGGTGTTTGTTACTCTTTCACGCAAAAACTACTAAACGGATTTGAATAAAATTTACCCCACGGGTAGATTATATCCTTAGCACACTTACTTTATATACCTACTTAATGATTAAGGCGAACAAAGTAGCGGGATATAGGTAGCGATAACTGAAATTGCTATATCATGTACGGGTATATTATAAATTAAGCTGAGAAGGGAGAGGAATGTTAATAGTGGGCATTAGCAACGCTATATAGCTAGCGATATATTCTATTAGGTTCTGAAGACCATTGTGGTTAAATTTCTGGCGAATTTATCACGATGCGACAACTAACTTGGATTCATCTTCATCTGTTATCCATTACTCGTACCCTACCTGCGTAAACCAGTAGCATGAACAAAGGGTGATTCGGGGGGTTATCATTGCATTTTTATTCATTAAAAAAGTAGCTACTATGACATACAGCCATCTGGTGCCAACATAAGTAGAACATATATTATGTGTACAAAATTTTCTTCTTGTACATACACATACATATGTATAAAACATTAAAAATCAAACTAATAATACAAATTAAACAGATTTATGAATACAAATATGTACATATATAGTGCAGAGATTGAACCCGTGACCATCGGAAGGTAACACAGTATGTAAATAACTGGAATTTTTAAAATTTCTCCCCCTCAGGATATTTAATCTATACTTATAATAAATCTGTAGAGAGGACAATTCTGTACATGAAATATATTTCCAAAATAACTATCAGAGGGTGATTAGTGATCGATACTGATGGCAAAAATGCAATCAGTAAAATTTTTATCTGTCTGTATGTATGTATATAACAAAAACTATTTGACGGATTTTAACGAAACTTGGTACAATTATTCTTCATACTCCTGGGCAGGTTATAGTATACTTTTCATCATGCTACAATCAATAGGAGTAGAGCAGTGAAGGGAAATGTGTGGAAAACGGGAGAAGTTACTCCATTTTTAAGCTTCCGTCGCGTGTGCATCCTTAATGGCCACTTTTTAAATTGTAAAAATGTCCACCCGTGCGACGCCGGGACGGGCCGCTAGTTGATAATAAAATTTTAAAAAATCAAAAGATTTTGGTGTAAAAAACCTATCTCTTAATCCAATATTTTAATTTATTAATTCCAAAAAATTACTGTTTTATGGACCCACATAAAGTTTATAATAAATTTTGACTTAAATGTATTACAAATTTTATACATATTAATCTTTAATGTAATGATGTCGCAGTGGTTACAGAAATGTTATTAGAGATTTTAGAGATAGGTGTAAAGAAATGTCTCATCTTAGAATCGTTCCATCGTCATTCATTATAAAAAGCAACAAATATGCATCTTCGTCCAACTAAATTAGTTTTATTTTATTTAATTGTATAATTGTACGGAACTATAAACTTAGTACATTAAAATCACACTTGCCTCTCCATTTCCCGGTAACTGGGCTCCACTGATAAGCTTTTCTATGTCTCAAAAAAACAAATACACATACAACGCGCCTCTAAGTATTTTACCGGACCAAGTTTTATTTACCAAACAGGAATAAACAATATTTGGTATTATGAAAGAATTTACATTTATTTTTTCTCTGTTATTTGAGTTTTTGAGACAATTTAACATGCAATGCTCAACTTAACAAAAGTGGAGATTCTCAATTTAATATTTTTTTTGTATGCAAGTATATTGTGCACCGCCTTTTCCAGTTACGACATGATTTAAAAACTCTTTTAAAACGAAAACTTTACTCTCGTGTTAGTCTCTATAAATTAGTCCCATATTTACTACTTTTGTTAAAACCAAAATCGGCTTTAAAATTTGGATTAGCTAAGCTAACCAGGAGAATTATTTAATTGAAATATTTTGACCCCTACCGCCACCTATTGGATTTATTTTATCGTAACTACATATAAACTATCTCTGAATACTATCTCGAAATAACTACATATTTACAAAATTTTATTAAAATCGGTTGAACGATTTCAGAGATTACCGCGTGAACAGAGATCGTGACATGGAACTTTTATATACTCGTATATATTAAAATTCTTCAATTATCGTAGACATGTTTTTCAACTACGATTTTATCACAAATGTGTCATAACATTAGACGCGTTCATACAATATTTATACTGTAACAATATGAGAATTATCTGTCAATTTTCAATAACAGTTGAACATTTTTCAATATTGGAGACCTATTATTTAAAGTGTTTAATAGCTAAATACAATATTAATAATACCACAAGATTCCTATTAACTTATCACAAAAAAAAATTAAATTTTGGTGGCAAAAACTATTTAAAAACTTTGAAAACAAAATATGAAGTAGTTATAAAATTATATGTAATTCGATTAGTTTGCTATCATAGCTATTTTTTCATAATCAATCCGAAATATTGAATATAGTTATTTTTTATAATTGACATATAACTTTGCTACACTTTTGTTTAAACGCTCTTAAAATTAATTTCTTGTACTAGACAAAGCTGTGAACACGTCATCTACATTTCCAAATATACAAGAAAAACGTTTCCTATCGTCACATCGGTTAACAGTCGCGTACATCTCATACAGATCTGTGTCGCCAGTCGCTACGTGAGTCGCGCCTTTTATTATCTGTCACAGTTTCGGAAATGGCGGGAACATGGCCACGATATTTTTTTTTTATTTTATGGTAACTTATTATTGACTTGATAAGCCTTTTTCAATGATATTTCAACAAATCTTCAAATACAGCAAAGGAATCATTAAAACAATTTCAGCCCAACAATCAATCAGATTTAGTGAGATTGGCATCATGGGATTAAATAATTTGCCAACTGATAGTTAAACTTTTTTCAAACTTAATTGGAAGAATTATTATGAAAACATAGCGAGTGGAGTCGGACTAAAGTTAAAATTTTCTAATTTATTCGCAATTCGTACTTATATTGGTACGAAATTTATACCAAATATGTAGCCAGCTTTGTTTATACCATTTCAAGTGTTTGAGAACCTCTTTGACTGTACAAATATTTAGTACGAAGAGAGAACTTCTATCGTCGAACAATAATACCATTGGAAAATTCCTCACCCGACTCTCAAAGGCCATTAATTAAAATCCTTCAAAACTTACCAATTCCATGGCTGAATACTTTAAAAATATCTGTTTAAACTCGGGAGCTACTAAACAAATTGTTTCATCCACAAACTATTTCAAACATGATACCATCGACGCTCAGAATAAATTAATTATAATGACTTTTAATTATAGTAAATAAGTGCCCAATTAGTGGCAATATTTTAGAGGAACGTGGACGTTATTGACTTGTTTTGTTAGCAATAAAACATCTTAGATAATTTGTTAATAATTTTATAAATATTTAATAGAGTTTTAGTGAAGATTACTCGGCAAAGAATTATGATGCTGCATATATACACTTTTCTTTATGTAGTAGTAGTAAACGAATGAATGTAAAGATCGAATGAATAGATACACTCGTATATACAAAAACAGTATAGATTAAGGATAGTAACTACCTGCGAGTAGCAAATAATGACTAATAAGTCCATACTGTCATAGATACAGTCCATATTCTCTCTAATTTGTGATAAAGTCCGTCTGATATGCTGAAAGCGGCTACCGCAATCTATGAACCCTTGCAGTATCAGGGATATCATTGTCCACTTAGACATGAAGAAATAAGATCCTGAATTAATACCTAACCTAATAATCTCACTTTCTTATCTCATCCTACAAACGAAAACACAGAATGCAAGTAAGCTGCTTGATAACGGAAATAGATTGAGTACACATACAAACGACTAGACTTTATGCAAAATTCTCATTTTTGTAAATATTTATTTAATAAAACTAATATTGTGCATTTACAGTTCAAGGGACAACATGCTACCACACCATCTCAAGTTGAATTCAGCTCTAACTTGTCGCCTCGTCGGAGGGTTGACCAGAGAACAAAGAACTCTATGCCATGATCTTCCCGACGCAGCCGCTATAGCTTTCGAGGGTTTGCAGTTAGCGGTTAAAGAATGCCAGCACCAATTCAGATGGCATAGATGGAATTGCTCAATTTTGCTCTCGAAGAGTTCCAATCCTCATGCTAGTGCTATTATGAAGAGAGGTAAGAGCTTTTATTAATATCGCAAATTTTCTTTTATATTTAAATGTAATTATGACAGAATACCAATGGAGATGATAGGTAACGATAAAGTCAGGCCTTAAAAGATTTAGAGAGGATTGTGTGGTAGACGATTTTATATGTTATTTTACTTCAATTATCAGGCCCGAGTTCAATTTAGGACAATCAGTTTATGTGTCGATTCTGAACAAAAATTCATTCATGACAATTTATGGAGGTAATGTAACCCAGCCAGAATACAATAAAAAGGAGAAAATGGTCAGGATTAAGATATTAGTAACGATTCATAAAAAAGTACAAGTGTTTAAATCATTTCATTATAAAAACTAATTCATTATATAGGCCACATTTTAATACGTTGAATTCAAATGCTAGGTAGAATATAAACGATTGAAAGTTACTCTCATGCTATTTATAAATGTCTCAAAGCCATATTTCGCGTTTTTATCATCATATCATTTTATTATTATATTTAGTAATCATCCGTTAACCTTAATTAAGATTACTTACATAATTTCTCTGACAAAACCACTATTTGTTAAATACATACATACTTGAAAATTGTGTATGTGTTACATAGCCGTATTTCTTCTCCAATTCTTGTTCTTAAATGTACGGAATTAAGTACATATATTCATGCATCGTTTTCATAATCTGTTATATTTTAATAGTTATCTTTGATAGCAACATAAGAAACCCAAGAGGTTAATTATCAAATTCATAAAAATAACAACTCGAGTTCGATAAAAGTTTATGAAGCTTTATCCGTTAATGGGGGACCACCAGAAATACAACAATATTACGAAATAAAGTGGTGGCAATCAAACGCCGATGGCAAAACCAGTCCCATGTAATCCCATACAAGAATATATTAAAATAAATGCAACTAAAACTTCAAACCAATCGCGATCAGCCATTACAATCTGAATTTATTACGACGAAAAATTATTCACGCACATTTAAGGCGCACCGGGAATGACAGACGGACGGACACATTATTCGTAATACATGACGTAGATACACACACACGTAGTACGTTGTTATACAGAGCCATCTTTATTCCTTTGCCTACGGGTGTGAAAAGGCTTTGTCAATTTAGGTCTTTTTTTTTTCACAATCATCGCACACGTTGACGTGAAAATTTACGAGCATAGTGTATGGGAGACAACAAATAATAAGGTTCTTTATGATAGCCAGGTGGGCCCCGCTCCCGCGCCCTGCGATTTCACGCTACGTGTGGGTCCAAGAGCAGCCCGCCCCCCGTCTCTGCCCGCAATCCCATCACCAATTAATATCTTAACTGGAATTGCCTTCGGATCCAATGGTATCACTCGATTTTCCTCGCGCACTTTTATTGCTGCACGCATTTTAATTACACGAAATACTCCCGAATTTTTAGACATTGTAGTTTTTTACCAATTGCTTGACCACCGAAGGTTTTTAATAGATGATAGCTGAACTGTAAATTCGCCTGCGCTATTAATGTACGCTGACGGAACACCATTGAGAGATAGGCGAGGAAGAAGTCAGGTCGGATGATCCATTATGATAAATTCACCAAGTATGAGTGGAGGGGTCAATCTTTAAGGCGTGCTAGAGCATATTATCAGCAATATATCTGCGGGCCCTAGTCACTACAAATTCCCCCTCCCTTCCTTGACTACCGAAGTTATGCAAGCATAATTATGGATAATGATATGAATAGCACGGACTACGCCGCAGAGTATGTATGTCGCCTATTGTAGCTCGGACCAAGGTTTATTAGTTATTAGTAATAATCCGTGACGGCACCTTCCGGCCCTTGAGGGACACGACTCCGTTTAAATTGAAAAATTGTGAAAAAACAGCGTGGCTAAATACTTAAACATCTTTCTTAACTTGCCTATTGTTGGGGTCCCGAATTGAAACGCCGACCGGGGAATGAAACCAAAAAAATACATGAAGAACAAATCGAGATGCTTTTAAATAGGATAATAGCGATCGATGATCGCAAGAGAAAGATAATAACGATACCGGGCCGTTGGTTTTTTTTTGTCTGAATGTTGGATACATTGATGAAAGAATGCTGCGGACGGATGGCATTCTGGGTAGATCACGGGATTTGTTCCGCTTCCCTGAGATCTTCCACACGTAGTTAGCGCTCTTGTTGTACGTGACTTCGTAACAATACACTTACAATGGCTTAATGACTTTTGTAAGACTAATGAGCGCATTGTAGGTTTTCACCTCCCATTTGACAGCTGATGGTGGCTGAGATTAGCGTGGAGACATTACGCTCGAAGCCAGGGTCACGTGAGAGAATGGCGCGCGTCAGACCAGCCAGGGTGGCGGACATGCGTCGATACGCATCTGTCGGCGCGGGCGCACGTGACACGAATCCACAAGGCGAATGTGTCATAAAAAAGTGACATTTATTGGCGTTTTATATCAACAACGTGTTCACAGGTGACGAAGTACCGACAACAAAGTGTGTTTAGGTATGATGCTGCAAAAACGAGATCTGTTTTATGTGATTCTCTTATCTGTCCAAGTGTCGTGGGAAATTGTTCAGTGTTAGCGACGAGACATCTTTATTATTAAATTTTGCACGATTTTTATTATGTTTGACATATTAAAAATTCCAAGCACAATTATTGTTCTGCTTACGTAGGTTGTGTGTCCAAATATTTTTTTGCAAAATGACATAACGTGTCTGTATTAATCAGAGTACTTATAAAGAGTCATGGTCGGCCTAAAATAACAACTATTAAAGGGATTTAAACAAAAACTAGACGTGTCGAAATGTCTCAGTGCGGTGATGTGCCTCAACCCTCTAATGGCCGCGATAACATCTTCCTCGGTGCGTTACCGAATCGTGCTCCTTCAGATGCCACTAAACTGTGAGAAAAAACACACAAAAGATCTCATAAAAAACATGAATTTGTCTAAAGTTCCCAGTTTCAAACGTGACATCGAGTGCCTTTTTTGTTTGGCCTTTTTGTACCCTGTCAGATTATGAAGCGCATTTAAGAGTTAATTAAGTCGAGAACTATATTAGTGATGTTGCGGAAATTTTTATAATGGCATTAGCGGTGGAGTGTGTGATTTATATAATGCCAGTTCTTTTTTATTTAATTAGAAGAAAGATTTCACATCATCTGAAGAAATATTTATCTTTTTACATATATATAATACCTTATCCTCAAAATCTAGTACCTACTGTACATTTAAACTTTCTAGTTTAATAATTTAGATTCTATTATAGATAACGTACTTATACATGCTGAATTTGTAGTAAAATACATAAGTAAAACTAATTTAGACAGTTAATGAAATTTCTCATGTTCTCAATTGTCTTAATGAAAATTCTGTTACTGGATCTCACTCGTAAAAGGATGGCAAATCAAATTCTATTCTCACTATGTATATATATTCATTTGTTTAACAGTTCTACTAGCAAATAGGAAGCAGGTAAAATAGTGGTTTAATAATACAATAAATATTTACCGAGAAAAAGTATTAAAATGTAGGTATATGCAAAATTTGGCCGTCTACATAAACTCTTGGTTTTCAACCAGTACCTTAATTTGTCGTGCATGACGTCACAAGCAGTATACCGTCAGGTTTCGGCAATTAGCGATTCGCAACAGCCATACCTTAGGGCTTTGTCCGGACCTTAATTGAAACAAAATATGTATTAACGAACTTTTTAAGTGGACTTTTGAAAAACGAATATTAACGGATAAGAGGCAGATATCAAATTGTTTGATAAAAAATATCGGCAGTACTTCATTTTAAAGTATTTTAATGGTACAATTTAAAAAAGTAGCTTGAAATTTAACACTAATTAGTAAAAAGGAACAAGAGTAAAATGATACTAAATATTAGATTAAACTACTTAGTATTAATCAATACGCACGTGATTTCAAATCCATAGTGTTGGAGACGCGCAACACTATGGATTTGAAAAAGGTTACAGTGACTTTAGCTTCCGACGGGCTGTATGCTTATTTGCTATTTTTGTGGTATTAAAAAAAATGCTTGTGGACAGTATCTACATACAAATTAGTATTTATTTAAAATTCACGATCGGGACTTAACACGACATAATTACAGGTACGACATAATTACTTACATACTTGATTATTACTGCCGATATTTCGATGTCGGTTGCACTACGTCGTGGTGCAACATTACCTCACAAAATGGAATCAACATAGTTTCCGTTTAGTTGAATATGTAATGTATGTATTCAATACAGTACACTAAAATTTCGACCAATTACGTAATATAGAATATCACATGATGATAAGACTGCCAAAATAATATCAATCTCATATTTCAAATTTTTAATTAACCAATTGTCGACCTAACTAATAGAATATTAGTTTTATGAATTTAGTACTTATAAACAAAAACCCAATAAGGTAATTTTTCTTTTATACCTAATTTAGAACGGATAATAAGTTAATGTCATACATAATAGAAATGGTAATCGTCACCTAGTATATTACTAGTAACCTGATAATACTTGTATGAATGCGCCCTTCGGAATCAAGAATCAAAAGTTTCTATTATTAAGACATTTCTATGAAATAAACGAACTCATCTTTGAAACAGATTTCTTACTTCTTTACATATTCCGGGAACTAACTACCTAATTAAAACCTTTTTAGGTAACTCGACTGACAATATGAATATATACAGGGAATTTGCACTCATTGACAAAAGAAAAAGTCCACAGGAGTTCATTCATTTTGGCGCCAGATTTATGAGCTATCGACTTCGAAGCGAGAAGGTGCATAAAAAAAATGTTTTAAAAATCACAAAGTGCGCAATCGTAAATCGTGGACGTCGCGTCGTGCGCGTGAGCATACAGAGGCGTGTGCGCATCAAAAGTTACACAACGGAAAAAGTTGGCCACCGCCGACGGAGCGCGGAAAAACTACTATTATGCGCATCACATTAAAAGAACGTTCGAGATCGCCCATACATCTTTAAAT